GGCTAATTAACAAATTATGGGCACCTACCCCACCTCTCTGAACCTGGTGAGATGAACTGAGTAATGAAAATATATATTTTTATATGAATATTTATATATATAATAAATATATATTATATATAATAAAAATATTATAAATATTATTTATTATTATAAATAATATAATATTTATATATAATATATAATTATATAAATAATATAAATACAATATATAGTTATTATAAATAATTATATATTTATATATAATAATTATATATTATAATATATAATTATTATTATAAATATTATTTATAAATAATAAAATATGAATATTTTATATATAGTAATATTTATTACTGTATATATAGTGTATACATAAATATATAAATATAAATATATATACTATATATAAATATATATATTATATATAAAAATATAAATATACACTATATATAAATATATATTATATAAAATATAAGTGTACTATATATAAAAATATAAAATATATATAAATTATATAAATATATATACAATATATACAAATATATATATACTATATATATTTTTATATAATATATAAACTATATTTTTATATATATGCACTATATATTTTTTAAAATATATACTATGTAAAAATCCAATTTTTTACCCTTTCAGAATGTTTTTCCTGTTATATGTCAGCTGGGGTTGGCTTCCCCACAAGCTGCAGAGTCACTGGTGAGAAGTTTGGCACAACAGCTTCAGTGGATTGTGGAGAGCTGACATAAATATTAGAACAATTCTGTATTCAGAAGGGAACAGAGGAGGGTTTAAATTCACATTTCTGGGTTTTATTCTGCATTTTGGTGCACTAACTGTGCCATGTAAGCTCAGCCACAGAGCCTCTGCCCAAGCACCTCTAAGGGAGGGGATTTGGAGCTTTGTGATCTCCTGTGCCACAGACAGAGGTGTCACAAACTCTCTGAAGTCCCTCAGGGCTGCAGTGTACAAGTCAGTGCCTTGCTACACCACAGGGATTTTTGGCCACCAGCAAATGACACAAACATTTGAATGCCTTGCAGCAAGCAGTTTGGGTTCACTCACCACTCCAGGGCTGTGGAGGGAGAGGTGCCAGCTCCAGAATCCTGCTGCAGGATTCCAGAGCAGGAATGCTGGGGAGTAAAACAAGATTGTACCTCGGACCTGGGTGATTGCTGAGGAGTTAAAATGGCACAGGATATCTGTACACCTTCCAGGATAACCCCTCAGTCCTTGGAAGACAGGGCTTAGTTGTCTTTTGGAAAGCTGCAAACTTCTGCCATCTGCTTCCAGGCAATTCTGGTTGAGAGCAACCAAAGCTAAAGCTGATGTTTGAAACGGGTGAGGCTGCAAGGATAGAGCTGAACTCAGACCACAGGTCACAAAGGGATTCATTGTTCTGGGTTTCCTCAATCACTCTGGGATGGCTGATGGCATGACTTGTCCCTGCTGTGTCCCACAGGCACAGGGGGACACAAAGGAAGGGATTCTTCTCTCTTCTCTGCCAGAACTGCTGCATCTTGGTTATTTGCTTCAGTTCTTCAGGGTCGGACTGACCCTGTTCACAACACCCTGACTTCCCACAGCCACCTATAGCACAGAAGTTTCACTTGTTGGAGCAGCCTTTATGTCTCAATGAGATGCTTTTATCCTTCCTTAACACCAGATCCTCTGTCTGTACTGCGCTCCTAAAGATCACAGCCCAACCCTGCTTGGCCACTGCAGGAGCAGGAAAAGTGCAATTTGTTTTCAGCTAAAACTCAGCTGGTGATTTTTGCTGCAGCAAACAGAAGCTATTTCCCAAGGTTTGTGCTGGATCCTACACAAATGTGATGGAAATTGCCAAGAATCCTTGGCTTAGGGGTGGGGGATAAAAAATGAAAAGAAAGGAAAGTGAGATCCAAGATCTTCAGCAAGCTGGTTTTAGTGCAAGGCACCCAGGTAGCCCAGTCTGGCCTCTTTGGGCCTTTTTGTCACACCCAACCTCCCCAGTCCAGAGCAGATAAAGGGAAAGAGGCAAGACAAAGATACATGTGTGTGTTTTCCTAAAAATCAAATAATCTGTGTGAGGCAAAATAAACCTGTGTGCACAGGGTAACAACAGTAGCATGGCCTCTGCAGGCAGAAATTTTCCTGAGTATTTTCCTGTTGTAGAGGTGGTGGGACACATGGGGGGTGCTCAGAAAGGTCTTTGCTGATAAATAAAGATTGAAGATTTTTAAGACAGACCTCTGCCTGAAAGCCTGGGATTTAGCAAACACACCAGAGCTGCACAGAACAAGATATTTACTGGAGGTGGCACATCTGTAACATATTATCCATAATATGCTGCACTAATGATTGGTCAGGATAAGAAGTCTGGAGCATCAGGAAATGTCATATTCCTTATACAAGTTAACAGCTGACCTACAAATTACAGCAGATTCAACTCTGCCATCTTGCTGCTGATGTGAACACACAGGAATTTCAGCCCAGTGTGGAAGAGAAGTGACAGGCTGATGGAACTCACTGAGCCTCAGCAACCCCTGGCCACTGAACACAGGAAAATGTCAACAGGTTGAGGAGTAAATGTACAGAGCTGTGGAAAAGCTGGATCCCTTCACTTGCTTTGCTCTGTTCCCTCCCAGGTGCTGAGGGAGCAGAGCAGGGCACCCTCCTTGCCAGAGGAGCCTCCTGCCCTCGCAGCAGCTGAGATGAGCCCTCTCCTTGGCTCCAAGATGATTTTTGTTTTGTCTTGGCCCAGGACTAAATCAGATCTCACATGTACCCGTTCAGCTCCAGTCACAGAGAGCTGTGTCTAGTCTCATTCTGGGATTTTCTAGCAAAAATTAAAATTGAGAAATCTAGCAAAAATTTAAATTTCATCATCTCAGGGCATCTAGGGTGTCCTCTCAGGCACTGCTCTGGCACTAACCCAAACACCTGCAGGCTATAGCTTGTTCCTGGCTAGAGGTGTCAGATCATTTTGGGCTGAGGCTGAAGTATGTAACAGGAGACCAAAGAACAAAGCACTGCAAAGCACACAGAACCCAGGGTGGGAGTTGCTAGAGATATTCTGGAAATTATTCTCAATATACATTTTGCTCATTAGCCTCATCATGTTCAGTTGCCAGCTGAGAGGACATATGTCATTATACTTCATAATTCATTCCTAGATATGATATTATAAAAATTTTAACAGATTTACAGGACATTAAGCACCACTAAAGATGCTCAGCTCCCTCAATTCCTCTCAATATTGCAAGAACTCCTTTAACCTATTATTCCAAACTCCCAGAAAAACCACTGCAGTGAACTGGGATGGACAAGGCAATGAATTATTTCCCCTCCTTCCATCTCTACACCACAGCAGACCCAACAACCAGCACTGAAGAGCTGGCTCTAATGCTAAATCTCAAGAGGGAAGTTGTCCCAGACATATTTTATGAAAAAATCCTTTCATTAGGATTTTTTCTCCTGAGAAGCTGAGAAGCTTCAGAAAAGAAATGTAAACAATGATTATCTGCTGCTGTGGAATGCAACAGGTGCAGCTGTGATTGGTCTTATGTGGTTGTTTTTAATTAATGGCCAATCACAGCCAGCTGGGTCAGACTCTCTGGTCAGTCACAAGATTTTATTATCATTCCTTTCCTTTCCTTGCTAGCCTTCTGATGAAATCCTTTTTTCTATTCTTTTAGTATAGTTTTAATATATCACTTTCTTTTAATATAATATATATAATAAAATAATAAATCAGCCTTCTGAAACATGGAGTCAAGATTCCCATCTCTTCCCTCGTCCTGGGACCCCTGCAAACATCACCACAGGAAGCCACTGAGGCAGTGCCAATTCTACAAGAGAAGCAGCGTGTATACTGCCAGACTGGTTCAGCAAGACAGACAGAACACCTCCAGTATCTGCACAACCTTCTCCAGCTTCAGGCTTGGAAACATTGGGCATCACATTCCACTTTTCCCACAAGTCCCACATTACCAGTAGTGGGATATCACACATGATTCACCACACAGGTACACGCCATCTTCAGGACAGTAATTCTGGGGTGAAGCTACTGGAAGAACCCTCTTTGAGAGTACACGAGCTGCTGTTTTTGTTCACCAGACTCCAGATGCAGAGTTGGCATGGCCACAGGAACACACACACACACACACAGAGGTTCTCTGGGTTTAGTTTGACACAGCACTCTGGGACTCAGCCTGAGCCAAGCCAGCACACATTGACTTCCACGTTATGCAACAGCATGACAAGCACGTGAAGCCAGCCCAACACCATCGCTGCCAGCGGGCCGATTTCTCCCTGACTTATCTATTTATTGTGTCCAGCCTGCACCCATCGAGAGCCTCATCAAGAAAATCTGGTGAGCAGGCAAGTAAGGCTTAATCACCCATTAATTACAGATTAGCGGCTGCAGAGGCCCGCACGCCACTGCCCTGGGATGAGCCTGACCCGCGTGGCTTCTCCTCCTTGCCTCGGGCCTGGAGGGCAACGCGGCCAGACCCGGACCGGGGGCTCACACCAGCCACGGCTCGGAGAGCGCGGGAGGGCCCGCGGAGAGGCCGGGCCGTGCTGGGGTCCCGGGGGCAGCTCCGGCCCGGGGTCCCGGGCGCGCCGTGGGGAGCAGGCCCGGAGGCAGCTCCAGCCCAGGGTCCCGGGGCAGCAGCTCCGGCCCCTGGGTCGCCCCCTCAGCCCAGGCTCGGCCCCAGCATCGCCCCCTCAGCGCAGACCCCGCCCCGGCGCAGGGGGCGGAGCCGAGCGCAGCGGCCCCGCGCGCTTCCTTTGTTCGGGCCGCGGGAGGCGCTGCCCCTTTAAATGCCCCCAGTCCGGCCCTACCGGCGCGCCGGCTGGAAGGCGCCTCGCGATTGGTTACGGCGCCTCCCTCTCATTGGCCGCCGGGAGGAATGGCGCGTCCCGCCTCTCGCATCTCATTGGCTCCGCCGGCTGCCCGTCCGCAGCGCGGGTTTCTGAGTGGGCGAAGCAGCGGTCCCTGGAAACAGTTCCGGGAAACCCCGCGTGCTGCCGGGGTCGCGCCGCCGTCCATGAGGAGAAGGAGGAGCGCGCGCCATTTGCCGTCGCTGCTTGGGCCCGAGCTGCGCCGCGCCGGCCCCGCTCCGGTGAGTGCCGGGGCCGCCCCGCGGGGCAGGGGCGCTCCGCGGCCGCGCCGAGCCCTCCTGCGTGGGCCCCGCGAGGGGACGGGCAGCGCGGGCTGCGGGCAGGCCCGGCGCGGGCGGGGACGGGCCCGGGGCGCTGGCGCGGCGGAGCGGAGGGGGGCGGGGGCCATGGCGGGGCCGCTCCGCGGGCAGAGCGGGCGCGGGCGCGGGCGCGGGAGCGGCGCCGGGGAGGGGCCGGGGGCGGGCCCGGCGGGTGGGGGTGGGGGGGCGGCCGGCCCGCTCCGCCCAGCCGTGCGGATCAGGGGTGCATGTGACGGGCGGCCGGGACGCGCCTCTCCCGGGGCTGCGGGTCGGCTCGGGTCCCTGCTCCGTCCCTCCCGTCGCGGTTGTGGCCGCTCCGCTCTGCCCGCGGGCGCGGAGCGCTTTGAGCGGTGAATGCGGCGCTGTCGCAGCGCGCCCTCAGAGCCGAGGCGGCGCACGGTGGAGCCGGCAGGGACAGCTGCACCCACCCGCAGCGCCCGGGGCTGCGCTTCCTGCCTGCAGCCAGGGAATAGCGCTGGGCCACTGCTTAAAGGGGAAACTATCCAAAGTTGTGTTGTTTAGACGTTGTTTTTCTTAAATTAACTTTTGTTAAATCTTGAAAAGTTTTGCTTCAATGCATCGTTGTTGAAAGTACTTGAAAAATAAGACTTTATTTACTCGGTCTGAGCAGCCTTGTTGCCTGTCAGTATTTATTTGAACATGCAACTTAAGTACGTTATCTGTGCTGGACTACTCTTTTTGAAACAGTGTGTTGGCTTCCCTTTCCCGTGTTTATGGCTCTAAAGGATCCCACCGGCACTTCGTGCTGCAAAGGACATGAAAGCTCATGAAGCTGCTGCTTTAGTTTTTTTGATTGGTTGTTTTGTTTCTTTTCCTTTGAGACTACACTTTAGCAGAGTTTTTTGGTTTTGTTTTTTTCACTTGTAAAAGTAATCTAACAAATTTTGCATCTCTCAGTGTAAGGTTTTTGTAACTTATGCAAAGTGTAGTATTTGCAAACGAGCAGTGTCTGCTTGAAAATTTTGCATCCTTGAAATTGTATTTCCCACAAGCATTGTCCTTATCTCCCAGTTTTTCTGTCTAGGTGAACTCTGTTAAAATAATACTTGAGTCTCTTGCTGACTCTCAACTTCCTAGTTCAGTCAAAAATCCCAATACTCCCTGCTTTGTTAGACAGGCATCTGCAAAATTCTTGGAGGATAAATTCTTTAGAACAAAGCTCATTTCTGTTGAAGTGTTGCTTGGAACTGGAGTACCAGGAGTGTTTAGTACAACCCAGACACCCAGATGAGCTATGAGCAGCCAACTGCAGTGAGAAATGGGCATGGGCAGACTGTATGGTTCAGGTTAGGAGTTATTGGTGCACTCTGTTTTTAGTGGCACTGATGGGCACATTTCTAACCTGCTGTGCTAAAGTCACCTCCCAATCATTGTGTGGGTACTGAAGCAGAGTTTGTTTCTCTCTGGGCTGTGCTGGTCTCTTGCTTGGCATCACACTGGAAGTTCTCAGATTTTTCCAAGGGATTGTGGAGTAGCAGGGCTGAGCTGGAGAAGTGAGGGTGCTGCTGCATTTTGGCTTACAGCTAGTGAGAAGTCCTGGCTACTGTGGTCTTCAGGCTGTGATTACCTCAAAATAAAGTTTCATGTAATTCATTCCAACAAACTCCTAGCATATCATAATTAAGGTATTAAAGTGTGTTTTCTGTGATTGAATAAGCTAAGGTATAAAAGAAATGGCTGTAATGCCTTCAATAGGATAAGGTATAAAAGAAATGGCTGTAATGCCTTCATGTACAGAATAAAGGTACAGAAATGTTTCTGAACAAGTGAGGTTTTAATAAAACCCCAGTTCAGAATTTAAATGTGAATTCTTATTTTCCCTCCACTTATATGTTTATCTTCCTTGCTTGACCAGAACCTTCTTGAAGTGTGAGGCATAACTGTAGGTACTGCATTTGTTTTTAAAACAACAAAACAAATGTCCCCCAAACTTCTTCCTTCAGTGTTATTTTTAACATGATTTAATTTAACTGCTTGGCACAGACAATATATTGGTTAGGAGCAGCAACATAAGCAAGCTGAATGACTTGGTGCAGAGTTTTTATCTAGCATTAGTTGGCTTCTGTGCACCTGAGCTGAACAAGTTCCATTCCTGCATGAAACAGTTTTCAGCAGCAAAACCAGCATTGCTGTATAACCACTAAAGTTCCTTATGGTTGTTTTAGATATTGTTCTTTTGCCAGAAATTTTCTGTTCCTTCTCAATTAAGCTGTTCCTAAGCATGTTTTGAGTTAACTAGACTGAATTTATAATTAATTGGATGGAGTTATACTTAGATAGTCTGTAGGTGGCAACCTCTGTTAGAGGCATGGTATGAGATAAAGGAATAGTAACATCATGGCTGTTTATCCACTGATTGTCAGATTAAGGCTGGGATCAGGTATCTCTTCTCAAGATGCCATACACTGTGAGGACCACACCTCTGTTAATTTTTTTATTTTCCAGAAAAATAACTAATTGAGCCATTTAAGTTATGAAACACTGCAAGCACCTGTAGTTTTAACTCCCTACTTGTCATACCAGAGCTTAAAAAGGGGGCTAGGGACTTTGCAAATCACTCTGGAGATGCAGGAATTTGGGGTGAAAGATAAAGAATTGCTCATGAGCTGAAAACATGCTTTTTTCATCAAGTATTTACAGTCTTCAGCAAAGCATTGTTTGCAACGGTGTGAGACTTGAACCAAGAGCCCTCTGGTGTGCAGTTAGGAGGTATGAGGGTAGGCAGCATCTTGGGCACCACTGAGAATTCTCCTTGCTGTGTCAAATTGTCCCCGATGTTATTTATTACTTCTGCTCATTGGTAAGCATGGTTTTGTGTCCACTGTTCTAAATCCATCCATTTCTGCATGTTTTAAAAACAAACACATATCCCACATATACAGAATTCTTTACTTCTAATCCACCCTTGGAAGCAGTCCCCCTCTTTTGTCGATATTTTAATATTTAATGCAGATGAGAACCTGAGTGCTGGTCTGTCATGGGCTGAGTCACATGGACACACTGAGCTAGCACTCCTCTTTCCCGTGCTTTTTATAGCTTTTAGAGCAGAATAAACATGTTCAAGTGATCATTGTGTGTTTTACTTACTAGATAAAATTCAGTTTAAATTTAATTCTTGTTAACTACAACTAACTGGTGTTACCTAGAGGGAGAGCTAAAGAGTCTTTTTCAGCCATGACTTTCACCCACGGATCTCTGCTGAGCTCAGAGGGAAGATTCAGTGTTCTAAGAGATGCAGTTTTGCTTGTTGGTGATTGTTGTGGGAGAAAAATCAATTTAATCTCAGATTTCAGGCCAAGCTTGCCAAGCCATTAAGGGATCTATTGCTGTATCTGTGGAAAGAAATACATACTGAATATTCTGGAAGCTGTGTCACTTCAGGATTTTTTACAGTCTATTTCTTTAGGAAAAGCTTTTAAATAAAGTTTGTGTAACTGGAAATAGCTAAAATCTGAACTCAAACTGAACATTGCTTTGACTTTAGTTCTTTATGAACTAAAGCAAAAATAAATAATACAGCTAGTAAATGACGAAGCTGAGTATGAATTTCTATTGCCTAAAAGCCTTTGAGCTGTGGTGCTGTGCAGTGATCTGATTCTTAGGGGTTGGATATTGCTGCACTGGTGATGCTTGTGGTGAAGGCTGATCTCTTTTTGTGCTGCAAATCTTGCCTGGCAGAAGTTTGAATTCCTGCTCCAGAGGAGATGTTTCTACCTGGGCACAGCATAGCCTGTCAAGCTTTTGTTCACTTATAGGCAACACTGAAAAAAGTGTTAAACTTTTGGGTTTGTAACACTTGGAAGCTACTCTGGGTTCTCAAAAAATTGTCATTGATTGTCACCACAAGCCCTTGGAGTTCAGAAAGTCATAGAAATGCTTCAAGTAAATTTCTGTGTTTGTGTTGCTGTAGCCTCTCAGTTCCTTGTGCTTTGGTTTGGGTTTTATTTTCTGTGTATAGAGAAGACAGTGCGTGTGTAATTAAATGATTTTATAAGGCAATAGGAAGGTGAACACAACAATGCCCTCCTCTTTATATCTTTATTGTGTGTCTCAGCTTGTGAGTTTTTGAGAAAAGAGGTTGAGAATGGTGCTGTACCCAAAGATTTCAGTGTAATCAAACCCCCTCTGCCCTGCACTGTTTCAAATTTGAGATCTTCCCAAGGCTGCCTAGCAAGCTGAGATTTTGCCTTCTGTGATCTTCATAACCTACAGAAAATCAATGTTCATTTGTGTTGTGATAGTTAATACCTTTAAAGCTAGGTAAGCGTTGTTGTAGCTTTAGGTAGCTTTTTTTTCTTCTGTAATTAGGCTGTAGTTGCTTTTAAGTAAACTGAATTGGTTAGAAAGCAGTTTCTCTTTGTCAAGTAGCAGAATGTGTGTGTGTATATATATATATGCCATGTAGCTATGGAAAACTTCCTTTCTTTTCCACACTAATGGCTTCAAGAAGTGGCATCTGACAGGAACAGTGTGAGGCTGCTTTACATGTCTCTAAAATTGCCCTTCAGCATAAGACAGCTTTACTATTCTGGAAAATTATATTATTACTGTCTGGAGAAAAATGATTTGGTTTTTTTCTTCCCTTGCAAATCTTCATAGGATATCTCCCAAGCCGCTCATGAGCTGTAGTCTGGAAGGGTTGGGTGTTCAGGGGGCTGGTGGAGGTGTGCTTGTGCTTGGAGACTTGTTTTGCAGCTTAGGAAATAGCTTGAGGCCTCAGCATTTTTTATAAAAACTGTTCTTGAATCACCTTCATACCTGTATTCCAGTACTTAACTGCATTGCTCCAGCCATGCTGCATTGTCTGCCTGGTTATCATTTCCTGCTGCTCCTCAACTCCTGCCCTCACTGAAAGCCTGGGGCTTGTTCATTTCTGATCCAGCAGCTGATGGTCCTTGTGTTCTCCGCCGGGTAGTTGAATTGTCTCTCTCAGCCTTTTATTGGAAAGCACTGAATATCAGCTGGCTGGCTAATTGGGAAATTGAAACAGTCTTTAATGAATTGGGCAAAGCCCACTGGGATTGTCTGAGAAGATAGTTGTGCATTTTTCAGTGGAATCAGTTTGTTCATTCTGAAAGCGAGTACTTTTATTAATATACAGAAATGGAGATGCTGCAGTCATGCCTTCCTTTTAAACCAATAAGGTGTAAATTATGGAAATAGTGGCTGTGATTTGTGCAGCTCCTATTTGAGGGAAACTGAAAGCATGGAAACTTTGCATTGCAGCTTCAAATGCCAATGTCCATCAAAGTGCAATTTCTCTCTTTCTGTCCCTGAGATCTGCCAGCGTCGTGAGAGAGCGTGTGGCTAGTCTTGTGCAGCATGTTGGGTTTGAAGGAAGACATGGCCACAAGCCAAGCAAGTGGAAAAAAGTATTGAAAAGAAACAAGTATTAACATTTTTATACCTTAAGCTACCCTGCAGGGTTCTGTGTTCAGTACATTTTAAAGGATTGTTTTAAAAGTAGCGGAATGGGAAATGGAACTAGCACTAGATCTTCTGAGTCTCTGCTGAAGGATGTTACTGCTGTGTCCCCATACATTCTAGCTGCTATGGTAACCACTTAATGACAATCAGTAGATGGAGTTTAGACTTTGTTATGTACATGAAGTACATTTTTAAAAAGTTATGTCAATTCTTCCATGTACATTTTCCACAGTATTAAGGGTTGTACTTTCTTTTGAAACTTAGACCAGCTGCATCCAAAAAGTATTCAATAAAACTTGATACAGGTGATTTTGCAGCATGTATACAAATTAGTTTAGATAAATCATGCATTGTCCTACAAACTAGTTATTTCTGGCTTATTGTAATATAGCTCCTGAATTTTTTCCAGCAGCATAATAAAATGGCTAATCAGGTGAATGGTAATGCGGTACAGTTAAAAGAAGAGGAAGAACCAATGGATACTTCCAGTGTAACTCACACAGAACACTACAAGACACTGATAGAGGCAGGCCTCCCACAGAAGGTGGCAGAGAGACTTGATGAAATATTTCAGACAGGTATAATATGCATTTCTTGTTTCTGATTGGTTATGAAAGTGAGGGCATACCATTTTCAAATTTTTATAGATTAAGATTTAAAAATTCATTGTTTTTGATCTGTGTAGCTCTGAATGTTTTGCTACTTTGATTTCCCTAAAGGCAAATTGGGTTTGACATTGACTAATTACTTGACACATCCTTGGAGTTGTATGTGATATCTTAGTTGTTTTAGGGCACAGAGCACTAGTTTCTTAGCCCACAAATGAAGATGTATGTTTCCACATACTAAACTGTGCATTTTTATTTTTCTTCAGTCCAAATCATCATTTTGCTTTTTTGTTTCTACTGTCACTGTCACAGTGATTCTAAAACACTCAAAGGCTGGCTAGGTGACTTAGTGAGGGAAGCAACTAGCTTGTCTTGCCTGGGACTACATTTGAATTGAGTCTGCCTGTGGATTTTTGTTCTCTCTAGTTCTGAGTGGACAGTTTAACCCATGTTGGTCATTGCACTGAAATGTTCAGCCTGACACTAACAAAGTTGAGGACTGAGCTATCTAGCAACTCCAGTAATACCTTGCTGGTAGCAAGTGGTCTCTGCAACTTCTAAAGAGGTTTCTTCATATCCAGAGGTTTTCCTATTTTGTTTTTATAACCACCCTATTTTATCTTATAGGCAGAGGCTTTCTTTTCCTTTTTAGAGTGTGTTCTGTGAACAGATTTACAAGAAGCAGTAGAACTGCTCTATGTGCTTCTCTTGAATGCCTGGGTGGCAAAATGACAGTTTTTGTTGAAAAGAGTTAAAATTACCCTGATCAAGTGAAGGCAGTTCAAAACCAATACCTATCAATCCTCAGTGTGAAACTGGCTCATGTGGGTGATGTCTTTTGGAAGTCATTCACAGGGAGCTTTCTTCAAGCCTTGGCCAGCTTTTATTGGCCATAGAGATGCACTTTCCACCTGTGGGTCATGATGATGTGCACTTGATGTCTGAGAGAAGGTGTAAAGAAACACCTGGGCAGAGGAACTCGTGGGGTTCTAACCTGTGTTGCAGTCAGGTTGTGTTGTGAGGAGTTCTTAAGGAGTTTAAAAAGCTTTTTAGCCCAGAACATGACTACCAAGTATAATTCCACTGCATGAGTAACCTGAAAACATTTATTTACACTTCATTAATGCCACTGAAGGTGTTTGCATTGTGGAGGGGTTTGCCAGTGAAGCAAGCTGCTTTAGACACTTGAGCCAAATTTGGGGTTGAATTCAGTGATTTTTTTATCTGCTGAAGTCTTCTATGAAAGATACAGGTGCCTTCCAATATGCAGGATCACTTCTGAAATGTAGTCCTTGGGCTTGGCACTACTGTGCACCTTCCAAATCAAGTAGCAGTGAAATAATCTGTGTATTTTGGAGAGCAAGCTGTTGCAAAGTGTGTGGAGTTTTAGTATTTATCCTGAATTTGGATGTATGATTTTAAAAGTGTAAATCTCACTCTATATGTCTGACTCCACAACTGATGCAAGTGCATTACAAAAGGGAAAAAAAACCAAACCCTGTAAAGATCCTTAAAAAGAAATGCTTCAGAACTGGTCCAGTGTTTCTTGGGGGAGTCTGTACCTGTAAAATTAACATGAGCTTTTCTGGGTACATAGCAGGGCTCAAAATAATACCTTTTTAAATACTGGCTCTTGGAACTGCATAGAGCAACAAAACAAGTTTAAAAAGCCCCAAACACTGTTTAAGATTCACATAAGTCCACTGACTCCTGCTTTTTTGAAGCTGGAGTAAAGAGTGAACAAATAATTTTTGCTTCCTAATATTTTGTGGGGTAGAGCTTCCTTTGGGTAGTTCCTTTTTCCCATCCAACAGGATACTTGCAATGTTCACCTGTCAGTTTACTCTAAAACAGCTCAACTCAAGAGAAAGAAGTGTGAAACTTAAAATGAGGGATAAACAAACAAAATTCCAATCATTAAAAGCGAGCCAGAGTTCATTGTTTCAGCCCCTGGTGTGTAATCTTGCTTTTATGCAGCAGATTGCATTCCTGAATGCTAGAAAACTTACACATGGGATATAACCCTGCACCTCAGTTAGTGCTTAGGTATATACATTTTAATTTAACTTTTTCATTGTACTCATATTCTTTCATATACTTGTGTAGGAATATATAATTAAATGTCTAATTCTGTTGCTATGGAATGTAACTTTTTGGCTTTAAAAGCAAATTGCATGAAATTCAATAGAAATCTGTAACTTCTTTATCTTTAACTTTTAGGCTTGGTAGCTTATGTCGATCTTGATGAAAGAGCAATTGATGCTCTTAGGGAATTTAATGAAGAAGGAGCCCTCTCTGTATTACAGCAATTTAAAGAAAGTGACCTGTCGCATGTACAGGTAAGGTGAGAGCCCCAGCAGGGGGAGCACATAAGTACAAATAGTTCTGGCACCCCTGGCAGGAGAGCTGTAACTTAAAAATTCTCTGATGTTGTTGTATTCTATTTCAAACCCAAATAACTCTGTTAAAAATTGCATTAAATGTGTAGGTCTGTGAGCACCAAGCAAAACCTCCCAGATAATAAAAATATGTGTGCAATTCTAGGTTAAAATGCTGTTTGGAATCTGATGACTTTTTCAATCTGACAAGTTTGTTCAATTAATTATTATATTTTCCTGAAGGATTCTTTTGACATTTATTTCATTGACTTGAAGTAGTGACTTCATGGTATGGAGTGTAAGATTCAGTGGATTCCCAGGGCTTGTCATACACACAATTGAATCATTTTGTAAATTGTATCTACAGAACAAAAGTGCATTTTTATGTGGAGTTATGAAGACCTACAGGCAAAGAGAGAAACAAGGCAGCAAAGTACAGGAATCAACGAAGGGACCAGATGAAGCAAAGATTAAGGTAACACTTAGAAATACTGGTTATTCTGTACTAACTGATATATTAATTGTACATACACTGAATATGAACTCAAAAAGCATCAATAACACCTGGATAAATAGATTCAAATTGGGCTTTAAAGTGTGTGCATGATAGGGATTCTATAGAGAAGGGTTGTTGGAAATGCAGCTCTTTCTGCTCACACAGTTGCCAGAATTTCTGCTCTATAAAAACACTGATACCTGTTTGAGAATTCTCAGTTGTCCAGTGCTCTGCAGTTCTTGGGGTGCCATATATAAAATGGAAAATAAGGGAACAGGCAAACAAATTCTTTCCAGTAACCTTGTAATACAAAACAAATGCTGCTGTTTATGATAGCTTTTTAAAGCCACAAAACAACAGGGTTTTTTATAACTTTTATCTCTTCATATCTACCTTACCCAGTGTGGCAAGGAGCAGATAAAGAATTGCTTATCTAGGAATGTTTTTTTGTTCTGTATATTTTAACCCATTGCCCTCTTTGACTTTTTTCTTTTTCCAGGCTTTGCTAGAGCGGACTGGTTACACTTTGGATGTAACTACAGGACAGAGGAAATATGGGGGTCCTCCTCCAGATACTGTGTATTCTGGTGTCCAGCCTGGCATTGGAACAGAGGTTGGTATTTACAGACTGATCTGGTAATTGCTTTGTGCACTTATGCAAACTCATAACTAGGAAATGCTTGAAGATAAACCATATTGCAAGGTGAATGTATTGTAGAGGAAAATAATCTTCTATGTGTGTTTTAATCAATCTTTCTTACTCCTCAGTATTCTGCAAAAGACAGGGTAAAGTGGAGAAAAAAAGAAGTGGAATATACTGCTGTTCTTTTTAAAGTTAAAAGATAGTTGGAAGAGTTTCAGAGACTTTAAATTTTTTTTTTCTTCCAAAGGATGAAGTCTAGTCTGTAAGCAATTATTTGGAAATTTAAGGTTGTGACTGAAGCTGTGCATCGTCCTAGCAAGCTGTGAGCAAACTTAGGTTTGGTTATGAAAATGCTTGAACTGTGTATTTCTTCACTTAGCTATTCTTCAAGGTTTTAGTCCCTAGCAGGTTGTTTTGTAATACATGCTCAACACTTCAAATACTCTGTCACACTGCTGCATATCTGATACAGGAGTTCTTTCAGAGATTTTTCTATAAACCACCAGACTGATATGAGAAAACAACCACTTTCCTTAATGTCTTTCAATTTATAGATAAGTTTTCCATTCTTTGAGATGCTGAAGCTCTTGCATTTTTTATCAAGAAGATGTCAAGAAGTATCACAGTAAGGATTGTTTCTGAAGGGAATGTTCATATTCCATGAAGGAAAATTAATTTAGTGGTGGTGGTAAACAATTAGAATGAGTCCTTGCACTGAAGGATAATAACTGATCTGTGTAACTTCTCAAGCTCTGCCTAGGTCTGTGTGCTCTGTGCTAATTGAGGTTTTGTCTTTAAAAGCTGCAAATGAGTTAGAATTAAGTGTTCTAGGAGTAATGACAATGTAAATATCTATCTAGAGGAATACCTTAAGCTGTCTAGGGAGGAGATGTTGGGAAAACATTTAGTTCTGCCATTAAACTTTCACTTAGTGTGATGAATCAGTTCCTTTCTTTTCTCCCCAATAAGTAATGTTCAGTCAACATTCACATTGAACTTAGAGAGGCTAAGCTTTTAAGAAATGTTCTGGAAACTGAATTTCAGGAATATCTGTGTAATATGAAGTATCTAGAAGTTCTACCTTGTTCCATGTTTTTCCAATTACTCATATTCTCCTCATGAGTTTGTTATATTGGTGCTTATTAAGGGCATGCTGAGTATGTTTAATTCTGAAATTTTGCTCTGCCTTCAGTGTGAGATACAATTATGACAAGGCCTTACTGAGAAGGAAAATGTTGACTCATGGCTTTTTTTTCTACAAAAAATATTTGAAGTTAAAATAAATTTATTTTTATCTTAATGGGTGTTTGGAATGTTGTGTTTGTATTAACAAGGAAGAAGTTTTGAGACTTCAGAGGAGAGCTGCAGTGATTGAACAGCTGGGGGGATCTTTCTAGGGAGCCCTCAGCTAAAGATATTAACCTTAACAAAACTTAACCCAAGTTAATTGTATGGAACAAAACCACAAGAACTCACAGGTTTGCTTAAGTAAATATTAAACATTTGGTTGGTGAAACACATGCAGACAAGAAACAAGACTACAGTGTATATTAAAAGTGAAAAACTTGCATCACACAATTAAAAGGAAATTATTATTAAATAATTTTTCCATCTCTGTAGCTTTCCAAGGAAGGGTAATTTACAGAGTGATTTGAAAATACTGCAAGAGCAAGGAAGTGCTTGGCCTGCTTTAACATATGATACCCACCTAGATAGTCTGTAAGGTCTTAGTTTTTAACTGCCAAAATTTACACCAGGTAAGAACCATTTATCTCTTCAGCAGGGGAAATTCACAGCCTCTTCAATGTAAGTAACAAACCCAGGTTTTCTGTGGGTAAAACCTCATACAAATGGCAGGAGGATTAAAACACTTGGGACATGCAATCACATCAGCTGCTGTGAAGGCTGCACTGCTGACTGCAATGATTCTGCTCTGCTGTTTTATCTGCATTTTTCTTCCTTTCCCAGGAATTTCCAAGTGTTAAAAAGAACCTTTTATATCTGAGAAACCTTTGTTTCAAGTGTCCTCTTCCTTTTTAGGTTTTTGTTGGTAAAATTCCCCGAGACCTTTATGAAGATGAGTTGGTACCACTCTTTGAGAAAGCTGGTCCAATTTGGGATCTGCGTCTCATGATGGATCCTCTTTCTGGTCAGAACAGAGGTTATGCTTTCATTACCTTTTGTAGTAAAGATGCAGCACAAGAAGCAGTCAAACTGGTGAGTTAACTTTCTTCCAGACAGGTCAAGACAAAGTAAACAGCAAATGTTGGTAATTTCTTAAGTAATGACATCTTCAAAGCATCCAATGACAGACTCAAAATTTTACTTTCTTAAAAATTGCCCCCTTCCCTTCCCTTCCCATCCCATCCCATCCCATCCCATCCCATCCCATCAGTAAATACAGATACTCATAAGTCTGTTATCTGCTGTACCTTTCTGTGGCTGCTCAGAGTACTTAGGTGATTGATAGGAGCCTACTTAATTCCAGTTTTAATCCTGATTAAAACAAAGACCATGTCTGTCTCAAATTTTTTTTTAAAGGTTGAATTCTTGTACCTTTAAAGGCCTGTTGGAGTCTTTGTTTTCAGAGCAGTCCAGCTATGGGTACTACCAGACATGAAGCATGGACTAGATTTTTTATTAATGGAATTTTTAAATCTCGACAGTAAAATTTTTTAATTCTATGATGGACAAAGTCAAAACAATGCCTGCTGTTGTGGGTGGGGTAGAAGCCAGGTCACAGACTGATTTAGGCTGTTGATTGTCTTGGCAAACCCTCTCAGTGTTCAAAGCTGTCCAGGGAAAGAGGAAAAACTCCCAGTATCTTTAATGCCATGTATTTGCTTACTGATAACAGCAGCAGCAGTTGACTGACAGCAGAGGAAGCAGTAACCAGTTTCTAGAAAGATCTTTCAAGTCTGAGATAAACAGTAGGTGAATAAATTTATGCAATGCAATTTGTATATGGTCCCATGTTGTTCCTGTTACTGCAGGTTTTTTTTGTAGCTTTCCATTCAACAAGACTTCTGGAGTCTGTGGAAATCCTGAGCTTGGCACTGTTCTTCCAAGTGAATGCTGACACAAAAACAGCTGTTCTGAGAATTCTCTTGCAATGCCAATTCAATATGCAATGTTTAAAAGTAGTAGATGATGAAGAAAATAAATGAGTTTATGGTTTGGGAATATTTTTATGCACAGTATTGTGGATAAAACAAATAAATGGATTTGTTTTTTCAGTGTGACAACTATGAAATCCGTCCTGGAAAGCACCTTGGAGTATGCATCTCCGTGGCAAACAACAGGTTATTTGTTGGGTCAATTCCAAAGAATAAAACTAAGGAAAACATACTGGAAGAGTTTGGTAAAGTCACAGGTAAGACTTAATGAGTCCCAGAATACCTTTAGTCTCTGCTTTGTAGGTCTAGTTGTTTGACAGATGTGTTCAGGTATCATTTAAACTGTTTTCAAGTTGGACTCCAAGTTTGACTTTGTTAGAAATTTTATATATGTGCTGTTTCTTAAGGTGGAGTGTAAAGGGACTCGTGTTTGTTTTAGTGATTGTTCAATGAATGATGATGTAACTTTACAGTTAGAGATGGAAACAGCTCAGATGAACTCAGAAACCAGCACACACGAACTCTGAAGAAAATAAAGGTTCCAATTCTGTTACCTGTTCTAACTTTCTGTTGAAGGTTCTGTATTTGTTACTGGATCTACAGGAGGTTCTGCTGTCAACATTGAGAAGTTTTTTGGGGAGCCTGAAGCAAATGTATTCCTGAGTAGTGAAGGGGAGGAGGGAGTACTAAATTGGTTTAGAGGGAGTATTAATAGAGAAATAGTTAATAACAGACTAATTTTTTTGTCCCAGTTTTGCAGCATTCTCCAGTATGTGCAGCAAGTAGGAAGAAGAGAAGTCAGCTCATCAGTGAAAGGGTGCTTCTGCCTTAGATAAGAGATTGAGTCACTTGCTCTTGTTCCTGTAGGAGAGCTTTAACCTCCTGCTTCTTTTTTAGGATTGCTATTTATAAGTACTTCAGGGAAGTGGTGAAAACAGAAGGTGAATATTCATTTAGTTCTCTCTCCTGTTTTTGGAGAGATGTGGAAGATGTTCCTTCTAGGTTCTGCAGGAGGCAGGGGAGAGGTCATGTGTTAGTGCTGGCTGCCTTTCAAAGATGTAAAAGTGATTTAAAAAGTATAGAAAACTTAGACTGTGTGAGTTGCTGAGGTTGATGTTTTGCAGAGCTATTCTGAGGAATTTTAATTGCTAGGTGACATCTTTCTGGGTAAATTGGATGAATATCTATTTGTTTTGTTTTTCTTATGCTCCCACTCCCTTTCAGGTGTAAAATTCAAATTCACTACCAAACATGAGTGAAGGCATTTTAGGGTAGACTAGATTTTTACTTTCCTTTTGAAGCTCAGTACTAAAGATATGTTTTTCAGAGGGTTTGGTGGATGTAATTTTGTATCATCAACCTGATGATAAAAAGAAGAATCGAGGATTCTGCTTCTTGGAGTATGAGGATCACAAGTCAGCAGCACAAGCTCGCCGACGCCTGATGAGTGGGAAAGTAAAAGTCTGGGGAAATGTTGTTACAGTGGAATGGGCTGATCCAGTAGAGGAACCTGATCCAGAAGTCATGGCAAAGGTCAGTGGAGACTTCACTGGATGCTCTTGTGCTTTGGGAGGGTTTTCTTTATGCCACAGTGACAAAGATTTGTTGCAGCTGAGCCAGGCTAATTTTGAGGCACAAAAAGCAATTAGAGGGCATTTTCACACTAAGCTGTGCAAGTGGTCTGAGCACCGTGGATGAGTTGCCATTGGAAGATGTTGGAAATGTGCTGTTACTAACTGCTGTTAACATCTGAGCTAGTCCTGTGCAGGGTTATCCTGCTGGATGGACACATCAGGCTGTGCATTTTCTGCTTTAGCTGTAATCCATACCAGGTAGGTGTTGTGTAAAACTGTTTTCCAGAGTGAGATAAAGGTGAAGTTCAGCATGGGGAATGGATGTGCATTTTATCCCAGTGTTTTGGGGTAACTCCTTGTTGTCCTGGAGGTCTGTTACTAAAATTTTGCTGGGATATGTGGCATCCCAGAAGCAGAAAATCAAAGCTGGATATTCTTCTGATTATGGAAGGGAACTGTGAAAGGAGAGAAGTTGTAAAAACTTCACACAGGTAACTACAAGGCACTTTGTTTTTTTTTAAACAGATTCAGAATTAATAAAGTTACCCAAATTTCTTAATGCAACCAAAAAGAGAATAATTACTAGTTAGTTGTTTCTTTTAAGGTTTGACTTTTAAAGATTACAGCTTTGTTCTCATTTTTTCACCAGGTTAAAGTTTTATTTGTAAGAAACTTGGCCACTACTGTGACAGAAGAAATTCTTGAGAAATCCTTTTCTGAATTTGGAAAGCTGGAAAGAGTAAAGAAGTTGAAGGATTATGCATTTGTTCATTTTGAGGACAGAGGTGCAGCAGTGAAGGTAGGTTAATTATTCTTTCTTGGTGAAGTTGGTGAGAGCACTTTATTTTTTATGGATGGTTTTAAGAAATTTCTTTGCAGTAAATACCTCGGTAAGACAAACCACAGAGCCCATTTAATAAGGTTCCCATTGTAAGAATTTCAGTGCTAATAATTTTGTTCCTATGATTTCAGTAGCTAGGAGGATGTGAAACTTGAAAGGACAAAACTGTAGCAAGTTAACAAGTAGGCTGGAAAATTGGTGTAGAGCAGTGCAGGAGAGTCTAGAGAAGAGGAAAATAAAAAGATCAACCTAGACAATTTTTCTGAGGAAACACTGGCAGAAGGTATCAGTTGTCTCTCAAAGACCCTTATTTAAAGGCTGTGTGTAGTTTTGGAGTGACAGAAATATCAAATAGAAATTGGGAGGTAATTAAAAAATACTTTGTGAAGGAGAGGAGAGTGGTGTTGGCAACTCTTAAAGCATTACCAGTTTTTAATTCTGCATGCTCCTGAGGTTTCTTCTCAATGACTTGTTAAATATTGAAGATCATTATTGTAAGCTTCAGAGTTCTCTTCCTTTGTGTCCATGAGCTTTTGAGAAGTTCATTAATATCTGCTGACTGTGATTCAGTACATTGAATTCTGTAGAAATTACTCCATCTGTCTTTTAAATCCATAGTTCATAGGAGAGTAGGAAGTGTTTTTTTGAATTTGGGAGTCTTGAAGCAGATACATTGCATGTGGTGTATGTGGCTATATGGACAGTTCAAAGGCTCTGCACTTGCTGTTATTAATGATTTTATAACCATTTAATTGCTTAGGCTTTTACTACACAAGAGATCAGATTTTAGAATACTCTTGATTAAGACTTTAAGATGAAAATCACTCATACTTAGGGAGGTTGAGGTTGGTTTGGATAGGTTTAGACCATGTCTGAGGGAGGACAAGAATTTGTTCAAACAAGGGGTAAGTCAGCACAGCTCTGGATGTGGTTTTCTGTAGTATGTCTGTAAACGCTCTCCAGCCCTTTCCAAGTGCAATCACCTGCTGAATGCTCTGCTAGATTTCAGCAACTGGAAACTTGTAGCAGCTGAGAAAAAGACCAAATACATCACTAACGTTCATCTCAAGCTGGAAACCACCACATCTGGCCCATGTGACTGCTTTATGGCCACTAAATTGGCTTATGAACTTTGTGAGATATTTCTGTGTGTGGATGTGTTTTGGTTTTCAATGAAGTTGTGGTATTTATGTGTGGAGTGCATAGAACTGCATCATTGACTCCAGCATTTACTAATTTTTATCAGTAATAATGTGGAAATAAATTGCCACAATTTCTAATGCTTTTGAGGCTTGTAGGTATACAGACACAAAGTCTTCAGTAATGCAAATATCAATACTGAATAAAGTTTAATGCAAAACAGATAACTCCAGGTGAGGAAGCGGGGGGTTTACTCCTAACTGTACTTTGTATATTAAGTTCTCTTTGTGGATGCATTTGACAGTAAAACATTGCACATTAATTTCTGGAGGATTCAGGGCTTGCTTAAAAAGATCATCAAGTTTCAGTAATCTTCTTTGGTTTTTTCTCCTCAAGTATGTGTCCTCAGAACTACTTGATTTTCTCAGTCACTTGACTCTCATTCAGCTACCTGGGAGCCCCAAACATAACAATTCTATCTCTTGTGTGTTCTACCAGGCTTGTAAGTGCAGTGAGTGTTTATGTCAGTATGAGTAGTGAGAACTTCTTTATTTCTGAAAGGTTTCTAGGAGATACAGGAACATAAAAACTGAGGGTGCTACATCTGACTTCATAAAATAATTCTTAATACGTTTTAATCCTCTTTTTTATCTTATTATATAAAAAAATAACTGGTGAATGAAGTGGCTCTTGGAAAAGTGAAGAGTAACATTCTGTTTATGTAGCACAAAAGCAAAGCAAATGGCAGAGCTCAGCCTGGAGCAGCCCAGCTGTCTGGTTTCTTGCAGTAAGTTTTAGTTCCCTTTGAATGGAAAAAAATTTTTAGTTCTTTTTCTTTTAATTTTTATACAGGCTATGAATGAAATGAATGGGAAAGAGATAGAAGGGGAAGAAATTGAAATAGTATTAGCAAAGCCACCGGATAAGAAAAGGAAAGAACGTCAGGCTGCCAGACAGGCCTCCCGGAGCACTGCGTGAGTGTCACCTCGCACCGTGGTAATGCTGCACACTGCAGCTGTGCTGTCAAACAGGGGCTGCTCTGCAACAACTCAATGCCTTGACTTTTCTCCACGTTGCATATTGTTAATCAACAAAGGCAAATATTTACTCTATTTTGAGTTGCTTTTGGAGAGAAATAATTCTCTGCTTCTTTTTCTTTACCAGGTATGAAGATTATTATTACTACCCTCCGCCTCGCATGCCACCTCCTATGAGAGGCCGAGGCCGTGGAGGAAGAGGTGGATATGGCTATCCCCCAGATTACTATGGCTATGAAGATTATTATGATGATTACTATGGCTATGACTATCATGACTACCGTGGTGGCTATGAAGATCCCTATTACGGCTATGATGATGGCTATGCTATAAGAGGAAGAGGAGGAGGAGGAAGGGGTGGGAGAGGTGCCCCTCCACCACCTAGGGGGCGGGGAGCACCACCACCAAGAGGTAGAGCTGGCTACTCACAGAGGGGGGCACCCATGGGACCGCCGAGAGGAGCCAGGGGGGGGAGAGGGGGCCCTGCACAGCAGCAGAGAGGACGTGGTGCTCGTGGAGCCAGGGGCAACCGTGGGGGCAACGTAGGAGGCAAGAGAAAGGCAGATGGGTACAACCAGCCTGATTCCAAGCGCCGGCAGACCAACAACCAGCAGAACTGGGGCTCCCAACCCATCGCTCAGCAGCCGCTCCAGCAAGGTGGTGACTATGCCGGTAACTATGGTTACAATAATGACAACCAGGAATTTTATCAGGATACTTACGGGCAACAGTGGAAGTAGACAAGTGAGGAGGGATTGAGAATATTGGAAAACATAGAATTGGCTATAGCTCTACATCTTTCAAAAAAAAAAAAAAAAGAAAAAAAATTGGCTTAATGTTTCATCCTTCAGTAGCGATTGGCTGCCATTTGTATTGGGCTGAAGAATCACTCTATTGTGTATATACTCGAGTCTCTTAGTTTTCTTTTTTCATAAACGCACTTGGACATTACTGGGCTTGCAGAATTCCTGAACTCCTTACGGGGTTTCAGTGCTTTTATCATTTTAGGCTTCACTTTAGCAGTTTAAAAGCAGGAATGGCACACTGTTCAATCATGATTTTGCAGAACCTCTGGTTTTGGACAGTTTCTTCTTTTTTTTTTTTTTTTTTTTTGGATTTGGGATAGACTACATAGGAGTATGCTGTACATAAAAGTAAAAGCTAGTGCTTTGTCTTAGTAGTTTTAAGAAATTACAACAAATTAAGTTTTCTTGTATTGAAAATAACATGATTGTATGTTTTGCATTCCTAGAAGTAGGATAACTGTGTTTTTAAATTGTTATAACTTCACACCTTTTTGAAAATCTGCCCTACAAAATTTGTTTGGCTTAAAACGTCAAAGCCGTGGCAATTTGTTCCTTGATGTGATTGTATTTCCAATTTCTTGTTCATGTAAGATTTCAATAAAACTCAAAAATCTATTCAAAACATTACCTATTTCAAATTCAATTGTGTCCTAAAACATTATTGCATTGGTAATTCTTGTGAAAAATATTGTTTTCAAAGTATAACTGCCTATGTGAGTGATCAAATTCGTGCAAAATTTCCTGTGCTTTCCAACATGTAGCACTGTGGACATCAGACTGAAAACTAGGAGAAATTACAGACAGCCCAAAAGGCACTCACTGTTTAATTGCTGTTCAATAATTTATCGGCATCTAATTTTGAAACTTTTTTTTCCTATTTAAAAGTGTTGAATTGTATCCAAGCATTCACAGAGATCTAATTTAAATCTAGTCTTCTAATGTAATGTGGAGAAGGAAGCAGATCCTACAATGGTGTTAATTTTGTTCCTTTGGTGATGTCCTGTGGAGGCTGTTCTGGTAGGATCCAGCCTTACTGTATAATTGAGCCTACAGACACACAGGGAAATTATTTTGATCTCAAGCATCTTAATCTGATCTCAAATAATATTTGACTAGGAATGAGAATTACAGCTTGGGTGCTATGGCACACTAAATTAATTTCTTGCTACGGATAACACAAACATACTCTCCAGATTCTGCTTATTTCTATCTTGACATTTTAATTTGATGTTCTGCCATGATGAACAATTTGCCTTAGAATTCTCCTGCCTTAAAATAAAGGCTGTTCAAAAGTTTAAGACTTTATCTTTTGAGGGCATTGCTAGCTACATTATATTATGTGTTGCTTTGACCCTTGTCTTGGACATTCCCAGATGTCAATTTTAACTGGCAAATCATGACATTACTCTTGTGTTGCATCTAAGCCATTCTGTACCACAATGAAGAACATTTGCTTCTCAAGAAAAGAGAGAAACAAACGGATTTATACTTTCTCTAAAGAAAACTATTGCCGGACCTCTAAATATCCAAATCCAATACATTGCTCATACTTGATTTACAGCATTCCAAACACAGACTATTGAGGAAGTTAAACTTCAGTGGTCATACTCCTCCCTTTGTCTTCTATTCCTGTCTGGTGTCTCAAGTGTGTAATGTCAGAATATTCCCAGTAAGATGAGCCTCCCCACACTGCTGTGGATCTGGAATGGGATTGCAGGGTTTGATTGGGACCTGAATCGAAGATGTCTATCTGCTTCTCAGAAATGGGTTTGCCCATGTCAGCCTCTTCCAATTAATAGAATTGGTCATAAATAGCTTAAAAGTGCTTTTAAAAAAAATCAATATCTATTATGTTGGGGTTTGGGGTTTTTTTTTTCTCCAGTTAATGGAGCCAAATCATGTCCTCTCTGTTTCTTACCTGAGCAATGAACTCAGAGGGCTTTGCCTGATTATACACTTCAGGCTTTTGCTCATTATAAGGATATGGTTTGTAATTCTGTTTTAACACAAATTTTAGCTGCCCTATCTGAATGACTTTCTGGTAGTTATACAGCTCTTATAGTGCTGAGCAGAACCCTGTAGTCCCAATAACTATTGACTTTTCAGTATTTATTGTAAAGGGGATCTAGTACAAGGAGCTTAATTGGAATCAAATTTCAAGTGCTCTCCATCTTGGAAGAAGGTAGTGTTCCCATATTGCACATGTTAGCTAGGAGAGGTGAGGTGCTAGTAAGGGCTGTGGGGGGAGTGGGGGGGAAGTTAAACACCTCAGTTATAGTGGTTACAAAACAGCTGAGAAACAAAAATGTTAAAATTGTCCTCCTCAAGAACTGTAAGGTTGCATTTTGTATTTACTTCTCCCCGAATCATCATTTCTACTAGTAGTTTTAGTAAATATGTGGAGTGAGCTATTAATTTTTATAATTGAAAATCATAACAGTTAAACTCAGTAGAAGTTTATGTTTACAAGATATACCGAGTTCTTTGATTTACATGGTTTATGGCTACTCAAATTCACCTTTTAAATTTGCAGCAGTACTTTTATTTAATCCATAGATAAGGTGTGCTACAGCTTACTTGAATAGTGGTGTGTGCTGAACTTGAAGAACTTAATGAAATGATGGAAAAATTATCAAGCAAAGATACTGTAGTACAGTGGAAAACTGCCATGCCTGACTCAAAGGAAGAATTTCTCAGCACAATTTGGACATCTAGTTAAAAAATAAATTTAAATTTACTCTCGTGCATTTCTTTTGATTGTTTCTTCAATATAACTGACCAAAATCCTCTATAATATGTTGAAAATGGATTTCAACTTGCACACCAATATTCAGCTTTTATGGGTGTCCTGCTGGCATTGGAGGAGGAGCCATGAAATGGAGTTTTAATAATCATTTGATCACTCATTTATAGCAGTTGCTTAAATGTCTGTATTGATAAGGTGTTTGACATAAGAAGCAAGTTACCAGATTCCTAGCAGTTCCAAAACTCGAGCAAAATACTTTACTGTGTTATTATATACTTAATTTCACTTTATTAACAACTTAGTTTACTAAACTCAACTTAAAATTTTACTATTGCATTCAACAGAGTTTGCATTTTTTCAAAGTGTTTTCTAGCAATTGTTTATTTTTAAATCTCAGCTTCTGTAGTCTGATTATTAAAGAATGAAAACTGCATTGCTTAAACCTTTCCAAAATAAACTCGAAGTAGAAGATCACCGCATGATTTTGGTGACTCTGTATAAAAACCTGACCACTTTTTGTCCCTTCTATGTTTGGACATTAAACCCATTTCTATAATTTGAACTCCGCAGAAAAAAAAATACAGAGGGCACTCTTATTATAAGGCTAGGAGAGAAATAAATGTGAAATGCTGAGCAAAAAGCCTTAAACCTCTCAAAAACATTTAGTACCAAGACCCAAAGACCCAACTGAATGAATGTATTTTCAGCAAGAATTGTTAGCCAAAAGTGCTGGTGGCCCATCCATAGAACAGCAAGGAGCTCTCCTAGAAATCTGTCATCAGCAATCTTTGATCATGCATGACTTGAGGTGGAGTATGTGTGTGATGAAGGATTGCTTGTAAGGTGGAGGTTGTCAGTGGAGTTCTGTCATTCGTGTGACCTCTGTGAGTAGCTCAGAGCCTTATAGAAAGAGTGTACCACGTTGTGTTCCTGTTTTTTCTAAAACAGCAACAAAAAGAAGTTAGAGCTTCTGTTAACTTAGAACTTGAATGAAGCTGTTGTAGTCTATTGGCTTAAATTGTCCTTCGAAACCCAGAGCAGTTCTGTTGAGCATGTATTAGTTGATAAAATATGTAGAGTAGGGAGAAAAAAATCATTTGTACTAAAGGGAAAACATAAGAAATGATGAAAATAGTCAAGGTGGATCTGCGATACTTGGTATTGATCAGGAACTTCTGAAATTTTAGAACAGGAGAATCCCTCTGAAGAAATGTTGTTTTAACAACTTGGAGGTTACCAGAAGCTCTGAAAGACAGTTCAGAATATATTTTCTGATGTCCAGAAATCTGCAAGTGTCAATTTTGTATTTTAACTCCTTCCTTTTACCTGACTATCAGGGAAGCGTGGTTGAGGCTGACCTGACATGTCATGATGTCGACTTGCTAGGTGGGGTTCGCAGGGGACATTAACCTTGGAGTTCTAGGTAAGAAAACTTTCTTTCTCATTTCCTTCAGTAAGATGAAAGGGTTGGTGTGGGAGGAGGGAGGATATGAGCTCCACAGACCTGAGCACTGGAATAGCTTTCAAAATCTTCCATTACCATGGAGAGATTGCAAATGTGGAAGGTAAAAGTTGAGGTTAAATCTGTCCATGTTCAAGAGAGGCATATGGTATAGGTTCTTGAAATTAGTTTGAAAATAAAGATGACTTGCACTTCAGAAGAAAGGTGGATGCTCTTTTAGGAGTGCTGGAAGCATAAAACATTTTGAACATTTAAATTTTTCCTCTCTAATTAAATCCAGGTATGGGTTGGATTTCTTTCCCCACCTGTGGAAAAGCAGAATTTGCAGCACACTTCTTCAAAGCTTAAGAATGCTGTTAAGAAAAATGTCCAAGTAGATCTCTGGAAAATAATAAAATTTTGCCTTGGAAATAACAAAACTGGCATATCATGAGTTTGAATCATTTATGTATTAAACATGATAATGCTTAGAAGTCATTAATCAAGAGAGAATGGCTTTTGTACCAAGGGACAGCTGTAGTTGATCCCATTATAAAATCCCACTGGATTTTAATATTCATCTCTTTTTGTGGAGGGCATATGTTGATTCTAGACAAACATAGCAAAAGCTGAAGAACAGGTTTGCAAATCAAATACTTGGACATGTTGAATTCTTCATGGCACCTGCTCATCTTGCACCTTTCCTCAGCCAGCAGACTTGTCTTTTCCTGCTTGTTCATGCAGTACTTGGAAAGGAGCAGAGGAGTTGGAAAAGCTTACTAGGCTAGAGGAGCATTCCAGGTGCAGTCATTGTTTACCATGGGACTGAATAGCATGCCAGTTGTGACAACATCTGCAGAAGAAATGTGCCTGGTGAGTACAGGTATTTTGTAAGGAATTTTCAGAAATGAAGTATTTGTTTCATTCCAGATAAACCTTACTCAGCATACCACGACTTGAGAACATTATGATCGCACAGAGTCATCAATGTTGTTTCACTTGAAGGATCATAAACAGAAAAAAGAGGATCTCTTAATTCTGGAGTTTCCAATCTGCATGTCCCATAGATAGTGAGTGTAGTAGGATGTGTTGCACATGCTCAGGTGGTCTCTAGGAAAGGAAGCAGAGGGCAAGGTCCTTACAGGAGAAAAAGCAACTGAATGGATTGGCTTTTGCACATGTGGAATTTGGAGATAGCTGGAAATAACGGGAATGGGACATGCTCCTTTCATAAAACATCAGTCTCTTATCAGTGAAGTTCATGAGTTTAAAACACAATGTCAGTAGGTATTTATGTAATCATAAGCTGCCAAATTGCATTAAAGGAAAAAAAAAAGGGAAAAAAGAATGAAAAGCAGACCAAATTCCAGTTCTACCCTCCTTGCTTCAGACACAAGCTTCACTTTTTTCCTTCTTTAGCACCAGTGAGTATACAGTGTTCTCATTGGATTCTCCAGTTGAACTTCTGTAGAGCTTGTGTAAGTGTAGGATACACAGGTTTTTCTCTCTCTTTTTTTAAGTCTTCACAGCAACCTGTGAGAGGTGATTGTATTTGCATTTTAATTTCGAGGAATGAGCACCCATTGTATCAGCGCCTGTTCACATGACATTATTCTTTCTGACATACCTTCAGACATTTCACATTTGGTGTGCAGAAGGTGCATAGCCATCTGGAATTTCAGAGGAGATGTGGTGTAAGCATTAATTTCATGATAGGAGAGGAATCTGATTCTGAAGAGCATTCAGCTGTCTTAGCAATGGATGCTTCTTTCTGTTCTGGAATTCCCTGCTGTGCTGCTTTAACTGCTGCAGGAAAAGAGAAGTGAAATGCTGCATGGGCTAAAAGTCCTGTGATTAAAAATACTTGCAGTTCTTAAAGCCAAAACCAACCAAAAAACCCAAAGTCCCAAACAAGGAAAGACAGCCTGGCTGTGCCCACAGCACCCTGGGGACTGGGCACCTTTTCCTGCTCTCCCTGGGAAGGGCAGAGGAGTTGTAGTGGTGTCCTTGCAGGTAGGTGGTAGCTGGTCCTGTTTGGGAAACATCCAATAATGCAGTTCAGGAACAGCTGGATCATTTTTCAGTAAACTGAAATGAATTATTGGCAGGGGTTGCTCTAGTCTGACATCAGTTCTCTGAGGCCTCTCACCAAAGTTTGCTGTGTGCCACTCCAGGAATAGGAAAAGAACTGTGAATTCTTTTTGCTTTCTCTTTTTGCTGGAATGGGCAATTTTCAGGTATTTTATAAATCTGCTCATGCTGCAGTAGGTGTTCTCTTCCCACCTTGGAAGTGTCCTTGATGCAGTATCAGGAAGGTCAGAGTTGAAAGGGCTGTGGTGAGGGGTTCATAGGGCTCTTCTGGGAATCCAGAGATCTTGTACAGTGCTAAAAATAAGGCCAGGAGAATATTAGCACACTGGCATTCTGCAAGTCAAGTTCAACAGGGTCAAAAACTGGAGGAGTGTAGATCATAAAAAGGTCCTTTAATAGCCAGAGAGCTGAGCAGTAGCTCATAAATAAGGACAGTCATGCTTATCCCATTGTGCTTACTCCAGAAATTTGAGCAGCCACCTTTATTCTCCTGTTTCCAAATGGTTCTGGATTCAGTTTAAAATTTTTCGTGGACACAGCTTTAAAGATGACTCTTAATCATAACCATTTCTGTCAAATTTGGTTTTCTGCCCTGCCAGTTTTCCTTCATCTGTTATTTAAGGGTTCACTACAAAAACCCTATTAATGAATACCTAGTCAATCTTTATGCCATACATGTTATTTTTGATTTCTGTAGCTTTGATTTTCAAACTGCTGTACATTTGCAGGATGCCAATACATTGCATTACATCTAATAAGCAGTCTGTAGGCTTTTTGATAGAGCATTGCTGAGCTGAACAAACAGGTCAGAGACAAAATTCAGTTTGTGAGTCTGTAGCAGTTCTCCTGGTGAACTTGCTAGCAAGATTTCTCAGCTGCTTCTCATTCAGATCCTAAGTGATACTTGACCATCAAGCAGTTCTTGCTACTCTCATGCTGGACAAACCAATGATTATGAGTGGAGACATTGAATTTAAGGTTCCTGAGAAATGAGGATGCTTAAACCCTTAATGGTAGCATTGTAGCTTCTCACTTCTACTCCTCCTTTCCTCTCCCATTGTTGGTTGGATGTTCACCTGTACTTGTCTCCTTATGTAGAGAGAAAGAAGAGAAAAGCATTTCCAGCAGTGTCTTGGATGTGTTGAGCCAACAAGCTCCTGGTGCAGATGCAAAGCTCTGTTGCAAGGTTTGAGATTTTTTTGAGTGGACCTTGCTGTTTTTCAAATTATTTTTTTGATGTGGTATGTAAAGGTAAAAATACTGAAGGATTCTTCAAATTTCTTTGATATTATTCCTTACCTACCTGAAGTATGAGAACTTGAGTTACTAATTTCATCAGCATTTTTAGATGATAGATGTTGCAGAGAACTGTAGGCATGCACTTAGGAGCTAATTTGCTCATAAAATCATTTTATGCCAAAACCATTCATCATTCATCATGTTTGTGAAGCATTAGAACATATATTTTCTTTAATGTTCTGGTAAACATTAAATCTTCTCTATGTTTCTTTCATGGCAGTTCACAGAAAATAAATGTGCTTTTTTCCCCTGTCCTTTTTTGCTTGACTGACTCTTGGTTGTAAAGTTTTAGCTTTTTCTCTCATGTCAAATAGATGTTTTCTTTTATGTGCCTTAGGAGTGGGTTCAGAAGGGTTTGCAGTGTAGCATGTAAAATCTAAAGGTCACAAATTAAATCTATTTCACTGAGCCAAAGTGGGGTCAGTGCAGTGAAGGCTGCACCTTCCCACTGTGGGAGGCTCTGTGGCCAGAGAGGTGCCTCCACCAATGTAGGTTATCTTTTTTCTTTCATTAGAAATAGCTTGAAAAATCATTTTAGCAGCTAGGCTGAGATTTAAAATAGAAGCAGCTAAAGAACATCAAATGTGTGGATGTATCAGTAGAAGTTGCTGAAATGAGATACAGATGTGCAACTACTTGAGTAGCTCTTTGTGATTTTTCTGGTGTGAGATGTGTGCAGTGTGGGATGGGCAGTGTTTATTTACACATCTGGAAGAGCACTCATGTGCTTGCTCACTCTTAATTATCTAATCACTCTGCTGTGATTAACTCCACCCCTTATTTGACTGAGGAATAAGTAGTAATGGAAATTTGCATTTCAGGAGTAGATGAAAAGCAGCTCTTCTGTTCCAGCAAAGTCTAGACTCTAGCATAAAGGTTTAGAGTTGAATTTTGTGGGAATAATCATCCTTCTTCTCTATATTCTCAGAGGCAGCACTTCAAATGGTTTTTTCCTTTAACTTCAGTAATTATCACTCAATTGAACTTTTTATACTGATTCTCTGTTTTCTGTTCTCTAATTATCCAAAGGCCATGTATTTGAGTTCTTGGGATTGAGGTGTGGTATCCTGACTTTCCATGAGGATTATTTCTTCAGGGTAGAACTTTTTGGCATTCTGAAGAAAATTGGTCTATTTTATGTTAGAATTGTCTTGTTTGAACTGTCAAGTGCAACTGAAAGCCTGAGTCTGCAGATAGGATCTGAGCAGTTCCTACTGACACAGGCTATTTTAGTGTTGCTTTTATGTGAACAAAGGGTGCAAGTGAATTAGCTCAGAAAGTTTTCTACTCAATATTTCTACAGAATGATTGACCTTGGGGAAAAGAGGGGACATCAGACATTTAGGAAAGCAGTCAATAGAGGCTAATGCATAAAATCCAAATCCAAAGTAACAACTTGCTTGTAGGCTGGGTAGCCAGGAGAGGAGCAGGAAGTGTTAACACTAAATAACATCTCTGCTGTCTTCTGTGGCTGTTTCAGTTTGAGCTTGAAATGCAAAGAAGTCGTGTATTTTGCATCTTTTAAACCATTGTTTATTTCTTACAAAGCCTCTAGTAATAAGTTAATTAATCCAGGACAGACCACAAGGATGCTTGGTGTAACTTTTTTTTTTTAATTTAAACATGCATGCTTTTCAGATACTGAGCTGGATCTGGCCATAGAGATTGTGAGCTTTGCTCTTGATGTAACAGAAACATGGGGTACATAATTCACATTGATTCTCTGTTGTCATGTACAACATATACTGTGTTGGTAGGTGAAAATTAGATAATGATGCCTGAATTGATTAATCCCCTGGGCATGGAGGAAGTGTAGTGTATAAATATGTAAGAAGACTTCCAGGAGGAAGTGTGGGATTGGCAGAGCCAGGTGGATCTCAAGCAAAGCCAGACTCCTTTTTGATGCACAGAGCCTCTGCTTGTGTTAGCAAAAAATTCTTCTCTGTTCCAAACTGAGACCACAAAACCTTTAGTGAGAAAAAGCCCCACAATCAGACTTTAATACCAAGAGCCTGAGAATGATTGCAGTTACTTACAGAGATAGGATTGCTTGATGAAAATTGAGATGTAAGTGTGATTAGATGTTCATTTGCTTGTTACACTCTTGAGTTCAGTCCTGTCATTAAAACAGTTCAGCCAGTGCAGGTGTCTCAGTGCTGCTGTCAGAAGATGGCTGCTGGCAGAATGAAAAGAGAAGAAAAAGCCTATGGCTGTGTAAATGCGCACTTTTTTCCCCCCCTCTCTATTAGTTGTCTAAATAAGCTATTTTAGAAACTTTGGTTATTAACAGCAATCAGAAATCAGGCTCTGAAGAGGTTAAAACTCATTTTTATATCTTAGTACACAAGTGCCTGGACTCCTTTATCTACTAATAATGTTTTAGCTTCCATTCTCATCTCATAATCCCTGAGGAACATGCATGATGCCATATGAATTGAGTTGGTAAGTTACCTCTCCTTGTCTGTGTGGAGAAGTTTGCTTGCTGGCTTTCCTGAAATGATTTCAGGACTTCGTTTATGCCATCTGCCATTGTAGCCTCTGCACACACACAAGGATTCTAAAGCTGTGACACAGTTTGAAATCAGTTGGAGCTTGGATATTCTTTTAAATTTACAAAAATCTAGCAAAATTGCTGTTTCCCTGTAGGTAACTCTTGGCTTGTGGCAATGCTTTGGGTTCTGGCCTGCAGGGCAAAGCTGCTCTTCACTGCTTGGCTGATGTCTGGCAGAACAGGAAATGTGGAAAGGGATTACTAGAGCACAAATATCAATCACATTCTGGATTTTTGGGCTGGTACCATGCTCTTAAACTTGTTAGAATAATACCTGGAATAATCAAGATATGCTCCACTACTTAAATCAAGTTTACTTTTAGCCCAGTGGTTCTTTAATTGAAACTGCTCAGGCAAAACTTATTTTTGAAGTATTTATAATTGCTTCTTAGAAACTTCAGCACCATGTGGACTGAAGGAATTTGGGCATACCAGTAGATGGCTTCTCAGTGGCCCTTTACAACGCTACAGTGGGGGAAAAAATTAAAAAAACAAACAAAAAAAACCTGGCAAGTAGAGAAGTTCGACAGAAAATTATACGACTCCCTAGTTTCTTTTCAATATTTATTGTTACATTTTTTGAATATTTTTCCTTTTCTGGATTTAGGCTTTGTCCCTCTCAATCTCTTATGGTTCATCATGCACCAGTAGTCAGCATGGTCAGAAGGTTTGGCTCATATTTACCTCACAGTTTAGGACTCATTGCAAACATTTAAAAGGAAAAAAAAAGAGAAACACATATTCACGTCTTCCTGGTTTTCTGTACTTTAAATTGAAGTGATTAGGAAGCTGGGTTTTAATGTGCTTTTAGTAGAGGTGAGATAGAGAAGTGTGTGTGTAACTGCTCATTATATTTGTCTGAAAACATCTTTTTGGGTGTCACCTGACTCAGTGCCTTCTCAGGTACCTGCTGCTTTGCAAGGCTCAGGTGGAATATTTGTGAGCCTGACACAACAAGAGAGGCAGAGGAGGATAAAAATCAATTGTGTTCTCAGAAGTGGAGCTCAGTGCCTGCTTTTTCCACGTGTGATTTGGGTTGGGAGAAGAATTGAACCAAACAATTCTGGTGTTTTATCCATTGATACCTGGTGAAGAGCAGCACAGAGCTGCATGACCTGGCTGAAGGAGGGCAGCCCTTGGGAGCTGGGGACAGGTAAGGCTTGGTGCAGCTTTTCCTTGCTCAACCCTTGCTGTCTTTGTGCTTTATTTATGTCTGCAGCCTCTCTCTCTTTGCTCACAAAGGTGTCAGGCCCCAAACGCCTGCATCCTTTCCAGTTTCTCTTAGGGAACTCCCTGACCAAAATCCAACAAAAATTGTAGCTTTGCCTGCAGCTTTTCAGCTTTCATATGTTTTGCCATGGAGGTCTGTGCTTGTCTGTGTTTCCACTTCATGTGTGACCCTTTCTCTTTGGGCTTGGACCTTTTCCCCTTTTCATGATGGCTCTTCAAGGCTTGGTCTTCCATCCTCCTACTTTGCTTACATTTACAATAAGTAAAATATTTTCAGTCCTTGTGTTGATTTTGGTAGGTTTTGTCCATCACTCAGAGCGCGGGGTAATGTCTGAGATGTAGGTGATGTAGTAGGTGATGTTTGAGGTGTTGTTAGAGGTGATTCTACTTCACTGACTCTGAAAACCTTCCCATTCCATTGAGGTGTTCCATCTCTGTAGTGCTGCCTTCCTAACAGTGCTGAGTTGAAGAGTTTCCATCTTCCAGAGGTAAGAGGAGGGATGAGATCAAGCCCTTTTTGGCTTTGTGGTTTTGCTCTGTTGTCTGAGCTCTTTCTGATACAAATTGCATGTCTTGTGACCCAACAGTTTTAGGTGCAGAAATCAGCTTGGTTTGAGTGAGCTTTATATCCACACACTGATGGCAGGACCCCATCAACCTTCCCAGCTTCTTGGAACAGTTATTTGTTGGTTGCATTCATTTGAGGGGAGTGATTTTCCTCTGGGTTCTTTGATCTCTGGTCTCTGGCCTGGCTTAGCTTATACCTCTTGCTCTCTTCAGGCTTCATTCATTTTTTAGAGAAATAGGATGATCACAGTTCTTGAATCTTAAAATCTCTAGTTTCTCTGGACTTGGCTGTTTTGTATTCATGGTTTTTGGCTGTTAGTCTTAGGAAATGCTCTTGGGAAGTGTGGTTGTGCTCTGCCTCCTGCAGTGGCACCTTGCTGGTGACACCTTGACAGGTATCATCTCTTACACTTGCATAAACAACACAAAACCTTGCAGCCTGCTTGTTCATCATTCATGTGAGCACATCAAAGTCATTTAGGACTTTAAATCCTTGCCTTTTCTTAAAAAAAGAGTCAGCAAACACCAGTTAATGTCACTGCTGCACAATGTTGTGAATTGCCTGAGCAGATGTTAGTGAAATGACTGTTGCATTTTATTTCATCTGCAGGATGTTCAGGTTGATCCATCTCTGAACAGCTTCTCTCTCCTTAATGGCCAGTTTGGAAAAGATGATGATCTGTTCCACAATAGCTGGGATTTCTTTTTATTCTGCTTGCTTAAGAGAAGCATCTAAAATATAGCAGGAGGAACAGAATTTAGAAGAAGAAAGCCTTACCACTAAAGTCAGGAAACATGGATATTCATTACTTACCATGGACCAAACCTCCAAACTGGTATTCAGAAACTGAAGTGTAAAACCAGCTGAAATCAGCTCTGGCAGTGTGTCACATTTCCTGTAGTGAGCTGAAGCAGAGGCTCAGGTGAACATCACCTGCATTCTTGTTTCCAGCTTCAGTCCTAAGTTTTACCTTACAGATAATTGATGCAAAGAGTTGCAGCTTATTTTGAAAAAAAATCCAGTAAGGATCTTTCCAAGTCTACCTCAGCAACTTGGGATATTTGGTGACATGTGAAATAGGTGATTTTGCTTCATTTACCTTTGGCATTATAGAGAGGCAGGAGGATGGTGTAACACCTGCCCATGCTGACTGCAGTTCTGTAAACAGTGTGTGTGAAAGTTGATTCACTATTTGCATATTGATATTACTACCTAACACTCTCAAATTATTCACCACAAAGAGCCTTTCCTGAGATTGTGAATTCTGTTTTATTCATGTTTGCTGCTTTTGTATCTGCTGAATGCCAGCTCCCTCTTTTCCATGGGGTAGGATTGCAGGATCTGTGCTCTTTGTTTTAATAACTTTCTGCTCTTTGAAATGCCATTATTTCTGGTCTGTTTTTAGATGATGAAGGATAGACACTGTGATGGGCACTAAAGCATGGACTTGAAGTGTGCACTCTGGTGGCAGGTACTCCTATCTGATCCCCTGGTCTGGTGTGTCTGAGGAGGGCTTAGGTGCTGTGTGTCTTAGCTGTGGTTTTCTCCATTTATTAATTTCAGTGTTGATTGAAATGTTTGTCTTTATTTATAGCATATCCAACAGCTGTGTTGCCACAGAGAAGGTAAGTTTAGAGCTGGGGGTGAAGGGGTTGATAAGCTCTGGATAGTTAATCTGTTTGTTTTTTTTTTTTAAATACAATCCTTAAAGTTTATAGACAGATTTTGGATGTTTTGAGTATTTTCTTGGAGTGTCCTGATGCTTAAGATCAGACAGAAAACCATTGTAAGCAAAATCAAAAGAAATTTTTCATGAAGAAAAATTAATTCTGAATGTTGGTTTGGGAGCTGATGGTGAAACAAATGGGAAGTTGTGATCTTGGACATTAGACAGCTGCTAAAGCCATTACTAAATAAACAGAGCATTTATTATATATTTTATGGGGAGGAGAAGAGATTAATTTGAGAATTAGATTTTTAACCATTCTTGCAGTGTTTATTTGTCCTGTAAGATACAGACACAGCAAATTCACCAGTCTGTTCAGTGAGATATTTTTCCTAATTATTTTCCTGATTGAGAATTAGTGTTAATGTCACACTTGTTGCTGGAAGCTATTGAGCTGGTCATGCTCATTTTTCTCTGCTGAGCTCAGTGAGTTTTGCTCTCCACTCTGTGATGGAGGATTGCTGGTTGCTGTTAGCTGTGCTTTAAAGACAAGAATTCCTGGGTTTGGTCAAGTTTAGGACATGTTTGTTCTAAAACCTAATAAAACCATTAGCTAATATATATCTCACTTCTCTGATGTGGGTTATAAGGGACTTGCCTGTCAATACATCTGAATTATTTAATTACATCTGGATGTCTTCCTTAGCTAACAAAGCAAACAGTCTCAGATATGCTTTGCTAGGCAGAATCATGTATAGACAGCAAGGTTTTATTATCTGTGAGGAAAAATGCATTATAAGAACATGAAATCTAGATGACCTTGACTGAAAACAAAGAAATAAAATTTTATGAGATACAGTATATTAATGCCCTAACTTGGATGTAGGAATTCCTGAGCAGTAATTTTGTTTTAAGTGCCATTAAAGCTCTGTGTGCAATCTGTACTTCTGCAGGAAATGTGAAATATCCCAGGGACTGGCTGCCTACCTGAAGGACCCCAATATCTGCCTTTGATGGCAAGTGACCTGAGCATTGCTGTGCCCATGGGAGCAGTTCAGGTGGGTGTGTTACCTGTATTTGCTGACTTTTCTTGTTCTCTGCATTGTACCAGAAACTGCACGTGTCTTGTACAATCTGTTTGGCCCTCTTGTAATGTCTGGTTTTCCTAATAAACATCTTTTGAAGTCTTTGCTTTGTGGCTGATTTCCAAGGCTCCAAGTTCCCATGTGTTAGGTACATCCTTCTGATGTATTCTTTGGATCATGCAGGGAGGAGAAGAGAAACTCATAAATGCTTCTTTTGAATAAAAATCTTATTTGAAGCTGCTGTGTCCACACAAGACCTTCACTAGTATTTTCTATGTTTTGAATATTTTCTTGGAGTGTCCTGATGCTTAAGATCAGAACAGGGTGGTGTGATGTTGCATTCAATCAAAATTCAGTGAATTTCTCCTATTATGGAAAAAGTTTATCCTGTGAATAACCAACAGAAAACCATTGTAAGCAAAATCAAAGAAATTTCTCATGGAGAAAAATGAATTCTGAATGTTGGTTTGGGAGATGATGGTGAAACAAATGGGAAGTTGTGATCTTGAGCTTTTATTCCTGTGAAGTCCCAAATCCTATGGGGAAACTTCAGCCCCATGAAGGTGAACTACCTTGTGCTTACATGAATACCAAGAGTTGGCTTCATCCTGCCTTGCTGGTTTTTGATTCAAAGGAGGACTGAGAAGAGAGTAGAATGCACCCAATGGTGTGTTTTCAATATTCCTCCATTTGGTTCTTTCCAGGGAGGATGGAAGGCAGCTTGTGTGCCCATGCAGATCTGGTTTCAAGTGGTGAAAATCTGTGTGCATGTGTGTATTGACTTCAAAATCCCTTTTTTTTTTCTATGGCACGTCATGGAGATCAGTTTGGTTTTGTTTATCAGTTCAGCTGGCAGGCATTACCAGAATCCCTCAGAAATACATTGGTTTTTCCTATGCTTAATCCTTTTTACATGCAGCATTGTACTAATCTTGCTGAATAGCAGGAATGTAGTTTCCTGACAACAGCTACTGCAGAAGTGTAAATTAAGAAGCTGGCATGAGGTTATTTTGGAGACTTGGCCATGAAAACAGAATTAGAGTTAATCCTATAACAAATATGTTTGGCAACTTCAAAAAACATCCTAAACCAAACATGTTTGGCAACTTAAAATCCAAAATGATGTTTGATTCAGCTCTAACCCTCCTCAGACAAACAAAACCTTCTCAAATGTCTCATTTTGGCCCATTGTGGTGTCAGTGCTGTGTGTGCAGTCCCTGGGCACAGGCCCTGGTGTGGCCTGGCAGGCAGCTTTGCTCCCTGGGAACAGGGTGGTGTGATGCTGCATTCAATCAAAATTCAGTGAATTTCTCCTATTATGGAAAAAGTTTATCCTGTGAACAACCAAGCAAATCACTTTCATGGCGAGAGAAGAGACAATTTTCAACTAGGACTGGCCTGAAGGAATCCCTGGCTGCAGATGAGGAGCCATTCCCAGCCCTGCAAGTCCACCAGAACAGGAATAAACTTCTTTATGTTTGTGTTTGATTGTGTGAATTCCTGCTTTTTCCAAAGGCTCCTGTGAACTGGAAATGAATCTGGTGTGTAATTTGTATTTGTGTGAGCCCCTCCTGCAGTGCTGCATCCCCCTCTGGGAGGTCCCAGCACAAGGAGGACAAGGAGGGCTGGAGCCCCTCTGTTCTGGGGCCATTCACCTGGAGAAGGTTTGGGGGACACCTCAGAGCCCTTTCCAGTGCCTAAAGGGGCTCCAGGAGAACTAGAACTGAGTTACATTCTCAGTATTTTATTTTGCCCCCAACAATTTAACTTGACCATTCATAGACAAAATTCTTCATGGTGTGCAGTTCTCGTGTTTTAAAAATTAACAAGCAGCTCTTTACAGGTGATTTTATTGCCACCTGCTGGAGTTCAAATTAAAAGTCAGATTTTTTTAAATATGTATTTTGTCTGCCTGAAATGTCCTTGGATGAGGGCAGGTGCATTAGAGATGTACTTAAAGAAATGCAGGCTAACCTGTCCCTTAGCAAAGCACTCATTGACTCATCTTGTTTGTAAAGATAAACTGAGAAAACAACTGGAAGCCAATATTTGAATTTTATCTTTATAAGGAAATCAGAAAAATTTGGCAGTAGACAGAATTGGAAAACAGCTTGCAAATGTGGTGCTGTCAGCTGAGGTGGCAGATGTAGCCTGGAGTGGGGACATCACAGAGCCAGGACAGTGCTGGGAAACTGGGACCTCCAGCTCCAGAAACAAATGTTTCCACACAACTGCAGCAGCCTTGGTGATAATTTTGGGGATTTTTGCATTCCTGGGCCTGCCTTTCATCCAAGAGGAACTTTGGAATGGAATTGGACAACTCTGCAGTATAAATTTGTTACTGATCCTTTCTCCTGAGCTCTGCTGCTCTGAACTCCGCTGGTCAGACTGTGCAGGAGCCAGCACTGCTGGCGGCCTGGGTCGCTGGGAGTTGGTTGTGTCAGTGCTGATGATTTTTGGGTGGAAGATGTGCCTGCAAAGCACACCCTAGCCAGGATCACTAAAAATTAGCTCCTCCCATTGTGACCTGGGGTGCACCAGGAAAATGAGTGCAAAGTTTCCTTTGGCATGGGGGGCTTGGAGGAACCTGACCCACCTGCAACTGATGTAAATATTAAAATAAACTAAAGGACAGCAGGTGACAGTGATTATTTTTGTGTTGATAATGTCATGGACTGTCAGTTGTGCTCTAATTTAAACATGTGCCCTGTGATCACTCCCAGTGCTCCAAATATTTCTGCTTGGTTTCTGCCTTAGACTTCACTGTTTCCACTTCTAACTTCTGATGTTTTTTTCCTGTATTTTCTCTCTATGCAGCTTCTTTTTGCTTTATGATGAACTGGATTTCCTACAGAGCCTTGCAAAACATGAAAAAGAATAAAATCTCTTTGGTCATGACTTCCCCAGAGCTTTACACACCTCAGGTTTTAGCAGGAGTTAGTAAACACACATCCCTCAGGGACTGGGTTGGTTTGGATGAGGAGGGAGCACAGAGGAGGCCACAGAGATGCTCTGAGGGTTGGAGCATCTCTGCTGTGGAGAAGGGCTGGGAGAGCTGGGGCTGTTCATCCTGGAGAAGGCTCCAGGGAGACCTCAGAGCCCCTTCCAGGAGAGCTGAGAGGGACTGGGGACAAGGGGGAATGGCTTCCCACTGCTGGAGGGCAGGGTTAGGTGGGATATTGGAGAGAATATGTTCTCTGTGAGGGTGGGCAGGTCCTGGCACAGGGTGCCCAGAGCAGCTGTGGCTGCCCCTGGATCCCTGGCAGTGCTCAAGGCCAAATTGGACAGGGCTTGGAGCACCCTGGGACAGGGGAAGGTGTTCCTGCCCATGGAAAGGCCTTGGAGCCACAGTGGGAGGTGTCCCTGCCCATGGAGAAGGGTGCAATGAGATGATCTTTAAGGTCCTTTCCAGCCCAAACCATTCTGTCACTGTATGTGGTACAGGAGCTCTGGGGCTCTCCTGGATGAGGAAGGCTCTTGGAGATCTGGAGTGTGTTGTGCATTTTTAGGACAAATGCATAAAGCAGCAAGAACAAGGCCATGGCATTCTAGGGCACATGCTGTGCTGCAGGGTGGGAATGGGACCACATCTGCTTTCCAGAGCTTGCCCTGCCTTGGCACAGCCTGCACCCTTCCTCCATGGCCTCCCTTACTGGAAAAGAGCTTTTGGAGCTGGGGGTCACTGGCCCTGCTCAGGTGTGGTCCTTGTCAGAACCAGGACATCTCTCTGTCTGTCCTGGAGGGCTCCAGCCCCTGCCAGGGGGCTCAGAGACCCTGGCACAGAGCCCAGGACACACCTGGGGCTTTGATTATGATTATGACCCATGGGGCAAATTACCACCTTTATGTGAAGAATTGCAAGTCAAGAGAGTTTAAGTAGAATAATAGTTTGTCACAGAGTGAAAAAATAGATTTTTTAAAGTTTTTAGAATGGGGGCTCAGGGTCCCAAGACAGAAGAATTTGAGCCTGCCTTGTCCTTTTTCCTTCTTCCTAGCCTCCATGTTCTAAGTGATGGTGGCATTTTTAGATTATTAGAGTAGAAGCTCACTGTCTAACGTAGGTGATAGGTATTGAGAAGTTATTGTAAATAATGTACAGGTAGTTTTTAGTATAAAATAATAACACCAGTGTGCCTTAACCTGACCGGCCAGACAGACCTCAGCAGGTCAGAGAAGGAATTTTATAGATAAGAAACAATAAACAACCTTGAGAACTCCCATCATCCCCTCTGTGAAACCACCCACATCCACGGGACAGCTCTTCCACCTGAGCATTGTCTGCTCTGAGGATCTGCCTCGGTATCTGTCTGCCAGGGCTGCTGTCATTGCCTCCCACATCTGAGTCCTGTCACTGAGCTCCCTCCTACATCAAACCTCGCAGAGCCTTCAAGGGAGGTCTTCACTCTGAAATTCTGTGAAATCTGTGCCCTGGCTGGGAACCTACAGCTCTGCCTGCCTTTTCCTGGCTCCTTGCACCCCTGTGGGGCAGCAAGTGCCTCTGATCAGATTTGAGGTCCTGAGGCCCCTTGAGTGCATTAAAAATGCTTGGGGATTAATGAATTAATGATGCAATTGCCCTCATCTTCCTTGTGCAGTGTGGGAATGGTTTATGCCCTCTGTGTACCTGTGCCTGGGCAGGGGAGCTGATTCCCAGCCCCTCATCCCCAGCTCACAGCTGGGCTCCCTTGAGCAGCCCTGGAGGAAATTCCTGCTGGGGCTACTGCTCTGCCTTTTCTCTTTATTAATTGCTTATTAGCAAAAACAAGTGCTTTCCCAGTGGGTGGAAAGTATGGCCTCGGGCTGCAGCAGGCAGAGTGGCTGCTGTGGGACCTGCCCAGACAGAAATGAATATATTCATATGTGGATTTGATTGCTAAAGGCAGGGAGGCCCCTGCTCCAGGCAAAGCCCAGCTGGAGGCTGTGCCTGGAGAGCTGCCCAAGCCAGGCCCTGCAGGCAGGGAGCTCCTCTCCCAGTGTGCTCCCTTTGAGCTGTGCTCTGTAAAATTTATATAGAGGGGTTTTCTGTGACTCACTGGGCTGGATGCTCTAATGTCCTTTTATTTGCAGAAGCATGGGACATTCTGTGCTCCTACAGGATGAACACAGGACCCAACTATCACCTCCTGAGCAGGGTATCCCTGCAGGTGCTGGTCCAAATGCAGCCAGTGCTGACCCTGGCAGAGCAGCTTTCCTCAGACGCTGGGCTGGGGACAGCTGTTCCTTCCTGCAGCTTTTGGAGGATTCTCTTTCCCTCTCCTGGTGGAGGTGAATCCCTTTGCACATGGCTGTGGGAGGGCTTGGCACTGCAGGAATGGCTCTGGGCTGCAGGGAGGGAATCACTGCTGGGATAATGTGAGCAGCACCAATGCCCTTTCTGGGGAGATTTGTGCAATGGAGATGCTCTGACCTGAACACACAACCCCAGTGCGTGGCTGGAGGCAGAACATGGCTGTGTGTTCCACAGCCAGGCTGAGAGCTGCTGAAGAGAACCAAGTGGGAAGGTTTTTCACCTGGGATCTGATTGCTTGGCACATTCAGAAACCTCTGAATAGGACAAAAGGTGTCACAGACATATTTTATGAAAAATCCTTTCCTTAGGATCTTTTCTCCTGAGAAGCTGAGAGGCCTCAGAAATTAAATGTAAACAATGATTATCTGCTGCTGTGGAATGCAACAGATGTATCTTTGATTGGTCTCATGTGATTGTTTTTAATTAATGGCCAGTCACAGTCCAGCTGTCTCAGACTGTCTGGTCAGTCACAAGATTTTATTGTCATTCCATTCCTTTCCTTTCAAGCTTTCTGATGAAATCCTTTCTTCTATTTTTCTAGTATAATTTTAATATATCATTTTCTTTTAATATAATATATATCATAAAATAATAAATCAGCCTTCTGAAACATGGAGTCAAGAGTCTCATCTCTTCCCTCGTCCTGGGACCCCTGTGAACACCACCACAAAGAGGTCAAGGCAGGATCTGTGTGTCCCCTCAGAGATGTTTCACTGAAGCATGGCCTTGGCCTCTCCCTGGTGTAAGAGCCCTGCTCCTGCTCTCCTGGTTCTCCAGGGCAGAGGAATTCCAGCCCTGTGCTGCCCTAGAACTTTTGGTCACAGGCTTGGAGGAAGTCACACTCCTGCTCTGGGAGGTTTGTGTGAGACAGAGACATCTCCTGGTGGTCCCGATCCTGAGGCTGCCTCAGGCAGCAGCACCTGGGGTTGTTACTGCTCTCCCAGGCATTCCCACTGAA